ATGAGATGGATCGATTCTGTGACTGGAGCGGTGGGAATAAGTGCGTTTGAGACGGTTAGGTTGGCACAGGATAGAACAGCATTTAGAGCTCTTGCACATAGGGTCGCTATGAGTCGCAAGCAACTCATGGCACATAACAACAACAACAACAAACATCTCCTGCTTTTAGTCTGAGGGCCCCTAGTGTCTGCTAAGACATTATTCCACGGCCCCCAAAGTAGACAATAATTGCATGAACCCCATGTACACATCACTCAGCTACGAGGGTCAGTTTTGCAAATCTGGTTTTTAGCTACGAGAAATTCTTTGTTTCAATAACCTCTTTAAGGACATTAAAAAAAAAAAAAGATGCTTCTAGAGGAGCAACAGGTTGACGGCAGGCTTAGCCGCCTGCGGTTCTTGAGAAAAGTCCAGAGAAAAGAGAGCCGTGTGGGCGCCCCACAGACAGGGCGAGGGCGTGGAAGGGTCGTGGAGCGGTGGGTCCTGCGCAGGCGCAGGCTGGTGCTGCAGGCAGGGGTTAGAGCGCAGTGTCCACCGTGGGGTCCTGCGGCGCCCCTTCCCGGGGGTAGAACTCCTCGATGACGCTCTGCGGGATGCGCTTCAACATCTCTTTGGGAAAGATACGCAGCAGCTGCCAGCCCAGGTCCAGGGACTCGAACACCGAGCGGTTCTCGTAGGGGCCTAAGGACAGGGCCGGTGGGTCAGGGGTGTGTGATGGGGCCCATGGGGCGGGGTGTGGGTCTGGGGACAGGGCAGGCGGGTCAGAGGTGTGTGATGGAGCCTATGAGGTGGGGGGTGGGCCTAAGGACAGGGCGGGCAGGTCAGGGGCGTGTGACGGGAACTGTGGGGTGGGGAGTGAGTCTAGGGACAGGGTGGGTGGGTCAGGGGCGTGTGATGGGGCCCATGGGGTGTGGTGTGTGGGCCTAAGGACAGAGTGGGTGGGTCAGGGGTGTGTGGTGGGGCCTGTGGGGTGTGGTGTGGATCTAGGGACAGGGCAAGCAGGTCAGGGGTGTGTGATGGGGCCTGTGGGGTGGGGAGTGAGGCAGGGTTCTCACAGGGGCCTAAGGACAGGGCAGATGGACCAGAGGTATGTGATGGAGTCTATGGGGTAGAGAGTAGACCTAGGCCAGGGCAGGCCAGTCACAGGTATGTGATGGAACCTATGGGGTGCGGAGTGAGGCAGGGTTCTCGTAGGGGCCTAGGGACAGGGCAGGTGGGTCAGGGGTATGTGATGGGGTTTATGGGGTGGGGAGTGAGGCAGCAGTTCTAGGAGCCTAGGGACAGAGTGGTCGGGTCACACATATGTGATGGAGCCATGGGCTGGGGAGTAGTCCTTGGGATAGGGCGGGCAGGTCACGAGTATGTGATAGGGCCTGTGGGGTAGGGAGTAGTCCTTGGGACAGGGCGGTGGATCAGGAGTATGTGATAGGGCCCGTGGGATGGGGAGTGAGGTGGGTGCTGCCTGGATGTCCCAATGCCCTCACCCTGGTTGATGAAGTTTTTCTCGAACTTGTGCAGGAATTCCAGGTAGAGCAGGTCCTCGGGCGTGAGCGCCTCCTCGCCTACCACGGCCTTCATGGCCTGCACGTCCTTCCCGATGGCATAGCAGGCGTACTGAGGGAGGGCAGAGCGGGCAGCGGTCACTGGAGCTGGACAGCCCCCAACTCTAACTGGGCTGCTTGGACCCTCTTGGGGGACCAGGAGCCAAGTTCCTGGTCCAGATGGGGTCAGAAGCTCTAGCTCCTGGCTGGCTGCCAGCCCTGGGCCTGCTCCTCACCAGCTGGTTGGACACATCTCCATGGTCCTTCCTCGTCATGCCTTCTCCGATGGCCGACTTCATCAGTCGAGACAGGGAAGGCAGCACGTTGATGGGGGGATAGATCTAGGGGTCAGAGGAAGGGCGTGTCACAAGGCTGGACCCTGGTTCTCCTTTCCTTCCCGCCCCTCTGCCCTGAAGTCTGAGGAATTCCTCTTCCTTTCTTCCACAGAGGTCAACCAGCAGCCTCCTCTCCCTCGCTCAGACTCTGTGGCTGGAGTGTGCAGGTGTCTACCTTGTGGGGGGACGGTGACTAAGACGTTAGGTAAGATAGGTTCCCAGCTTCACGGCGTTGGGGATCTGAACAAAAGCCGTGCAGGAGCTTAAGGCTTAGGCATCGCAAAGAACCTGCCAAGATTGTGCGGTGACGTGGCTGATGTTGCTAAACTGCACAGCAGAGACACGCACGACTGGAAAATATCTCTATCTCTCTCTGTCACACACACACACACACACACACACACACACACACACATCCCCTTCCAACTATAAACACAGAGGAGGGAGGAGGAACTTGCAAGCCAAGAGCACCGAGTCCCAGGGGTTGCCTTACACCAACAAGTGGGCCCATTTGTTACTCCTTCAGCACATTATTCACCTTCTACTTGTGACAGTCAATGATTATTTTCTGGCCGCCTGAACAAATAGCTAGAGAGGGAGAGGAGATGGTTCGTGCGAGCTGAGACCTGCTCTGTGTGTGGTTCTGGGGAAAGGCCACAGGTCCTCTCGGGAGCTCTGGTGGTGTGCTGGTAGGGAGTTATGCTGCCAGTCCACAGGTACCTGGTGCAAATCCACCAGGTGTCCCGAGGGAGAAAGGTGTGCCCTCTCTTCCTGATTTCCAGCCTCCGAAAACCTGCTGGCGGGTCAGCTAAGAGGGGGTTCCGACTTGACAGCACATAACAACAGCATGCTTTCTATTTGTCCCCTTATGTGGCCCTCGAGCCCCAGCTGGGTGATAAGCAGTAGTATCCCCACTTCATAGAAGAAAACCACCTGAGAGCGGAGAGAATTAATTTCTCATAACCGGGTCCACCCAGGAGGGTCTCGGTGGAAGCTATGTCTTCCTTTTGTGACTCACACCAACTCAGGTGGTCCCCTCTGGTTTAGGGCTGACTATGCCCAGCTCCCTCGATCCAATGAAAGACACAGTGCAGGGAGGGATGGGAGAATGGGGAGTGGATGCGGAGGGGGCAGTACCTGTCTGTTGTGAAGCTGTCTGTCCACATAGATCTGTCCCTCTGTGATGAAGCCTGTCAGGTCCGGGATGGGGTGGGTGATATCTACAAGGGAATGTTCCAGCATCAGTGGGGGGAGGTGGGGACGCCCCCTCCGTTCCACCAGAGTCCCCTGGATCCCGTCCCACTCGTAAGGGAGAGCAGCATGGGGCATCAGCAGCTGCCTCCATGTCCGGCGGGAGGGGCCGTGGCAGCGGGGAGCTCACCGTCGTTGGGCATGGTGAGGATGGGGATCTGCGTGATGGAGCCGTTCCGGCCCTCCACGCGGCCTGCCCGCTCGTAGATAGTGGCCAGGTCCGTGTACATGTAGCCGGGGAAGCCCCGGCGCCCAGGCACCTCCTCCCTGGCAGCCGAGACCTGCAATATCACACGCGCCACGGTAAGAGGGGTAACAACGAGGGAGAGACTGGCAAAAGGCCTAGGGCGTGGGCGGCCTAACGTTGAAAACTGAGCTGGAGGAGTGGGGGGGGAAGTGGAGTTCTGCCCTGGAGCTGTGTATGAGACAGGACTGCGTGGACAGTGCTTCTGCACTTGAGCGAGTTCCAAAGGTGACCCCCGGGCGTAGTGGCCAGGACAGGCAAGGAGGAAGCTGCCCCCTCCAGGCCCATCACCTCCCGCAAGGCCTCTGCGTAGGAGCTCATGTCCGTCAGGATGACCAGCACGTGCTTCTCGCACTGGTAGGCGAGGAACTCGGCCGTGGTCAGCGCCAGACGCGGGGTGATGATCCGCTCGATCCTGTGGGCACAGCAGCAGTTAGAGGCCCTGGGAGTCCGGGGGCGCTGAGGCCAGGTGCCAAGTGGAAGGGCAGCGGGGACGCTGGGGTCGTATGTAGAGACCCAGGGGTCTGCAGAGTGAACCCTCTGCCCTTCCTCACTGGGCCAGCACGGGGTTGGCGGGGCAAACTGTGGTCCCAGGTCTGCCGAGGACAGCAGGGCTCTGTCCTTGTGGGCTGTGGGCCAAGGCCAGGGAGGGGTTCCGGGTGCCCTTGCCTCACAGCACCCACGCTTGGTCCCTCTCCAGGTCCTCAGGGCTCACTCTTTTTTCTGTGTTTTCCTTCCTCCTCTTGGGCACACTTACGGTGAAGGTCCCAAGTGCCCACGCTCGCTGGCAGCCCCTCTCTATGTGGTGCCCCCCAACCACCCTCAGGCATCTTCCCAAGCAGAGCCATGGCAGACTCCAGAATTCTCTGACTTCACTTCTGAAGCACCTTCAAGACCCACGCAGGTTTACCGGGATCCACCACAGTCTCAAATTTGAAGTCATGCTTCCTAACGTTAAAAATAGAGAGTGGATGGGGTGGGGGAGAAACTCTCCAGAGGCATCTCTGCTGTGGACACTGTTGTGGATGTGACACCGGGTGAGGACCCTGGTGGGAAGCAGGTCGTGGGAAGAACACAGGGGCTGGGACAGCAGGCAGGGTGGTGGTCTCGATCCCATCTGTCTAGGAGCTGTCACTGCCCCTTCCAGGCCTCAGTTTCCTTGTCTGCACACTGAAGGGCTGGTCTCTGAGCTCTGGCTCGTAGATCTAGTCCCGGGACCCCCCTACACCTGTACTCTGGGTCTTGGAAGAGGAGGACATCATGGGCACTGGGGGAGGCTCACGTGGGGTCATTGGCCAAGTTCAGGAAGAGGCACACGTTCCCCATGGCACCGTTCTGCTCGAAGTCAGACTTGAAGAACCTGGCTGTCTCCATGTTCACCTGGACATACAGAAGGGAGGTCTGGGGGTGCAGACCTCCAACCTCGGGGGCCTCCACTCCCATCTCATCTCTGTAAAGCTTGTCAAGTGACTGAATGACCGTTTCTGGGGATTAACATGCAATACCACAGGGATGGCCCTGGGGCTGGAGAGGGGAGGGCTGAGCATGCTGCCACAGACCTGGCCTCATCAGATCCTAACACAAAGTTGAGGGGTGCTCCGGCCAGCTCAGCCATCTATATCTTCTGTAACTTCCTGCCCTAGCTTTTGCCCCATTTTTCTCAAACTTGTTTTCTCCCCTGAGTTCTCTAGCTGCCCCCTCCCCCCCACGTAGGCCATCCTGGTCCCACCCATCACATGCTCATCCAGGGGGCACACAGAGGGACACATTGCCCACTCTGGTCCCTCTCACTCTCACCCCATCAGTCACTCTCCCTTTCCATCCTGGGAGGGCCTGCCTCTCCCCTCAGACAGGCCTGGGCTGGAGTGGCCTCTCAGGAGCAGGGCTGGGCCTCCCCTCTCAGATCAGGCTGTGCCAGAGCCCAGGAGGGACAGCCGACCCACCCACGGCTCCCGGAGCGCCTGCTTGCAAGCCCTTCTTACCCCCATGGCTGCAAAGACGATGGCAAAGTTGTCGTCATGATAATCCAGCACAGCCTTGGACTTCCTCACCAGCCCGGCCTGGCGGCAGATCTGGGCAGCGATCTAGGCATGGCAGGTTGGGAGGGAAAGGGGGCATCAGGGCTGAAACCCAGCACCCACCCCCTGAGCACCAGAGCCTGAGTGATTCCAGTCTTCTGTCTTGGTCTTGGATGGGAATCCAGTCCAGGAAGGTGAAATGACTGCCCACCCAGGATGACAATCTTTCTTGGGACTGGGGACAGGGGTGCCTGGCATCCTGTTCTACACTCACTACAGGAATGAGGCTGCCTGTCATAAGAGGGGACAGCAGAACAAACCCCCAAGTGCAGCTGTCTCAGCTCAGCTGTGGAGCAAATCTCTAGGGCAGCCAGGCCCTTCCTGCCCTGCCCTGGGTTCTTCTGTTATCACCTTCCCAAAGCTGTCTAGTCCTCCCAAGTTCAGATTCTCATGTCCAAGTTCATAAGCCCACTGATAGTCAATACCATTGTAAGGACCTCCCAGGGTTTATCCAGCAGCTCTGGCAGCCCAGTGGAGTTGAGCTGCCACCTCAAAGGCAAGCAATTCAGATCTACCAGCTACTCCACAGAATAGGAATGGACAAACTCCCCCTGGACAATTTACAGCCTCAGAAAGGCCAGTAGAGGGTCAGCTATATGTTGGTTCCCACTTCATGGCAGTGAGTGAAGGAGTGAGGGAGCGACTATCTGGACACAGAACTATCACAAGTGAGCAGAGCATGGCTCTACCAGGCCTCATGGGTCTACCAGGTGCCATGTGTCTACCAGGCCTCATGGGTCTACCAGGTGCCATGTGTCTACCAGGCCTCATGGGTCTACCAGGTGCCATGTGTCTACCAGGCCTCATGAGTCTACCAGGAGCCATGTGTCTACCAGGCCTCATGGGTCTACCAGGTGCTATGTGTCTACCAGGCACCATGGGTCTACCAGGCACCATGGGTCTACCAGGCACCATAGGTCTACCAGGCCTCATGGGTCTACCAGGTGCTATGCATCTACCAGGCACCGTGGGTCTACCAGGCCTCATGGGTCTACCAGGCACCATGGGTCTACCAGGCCTCATGGGTCTACCAGGCACCATGGGTCTACCAGGCCTCATGGGTCTACCAGGGGCTATGTGTTTACCAGGCACCATGGGTCTACCAGGTGCCATGTGTCTACCAGGGACCATGTGTCTACCAGGCACCATGGGTCTACCAGGCCTCATTGTCCAGACCTAGGCTGAGCAGAGTCCCCTGTGTCCTCTCACCATCTTGAGGGTGAGCTGGGGCACACCAGGAGTGGGTGGAGTTGGCACTGGAGTCCTTGAAGACTTGTCTACTCTAAGGAATTGGACTGAGTAAGGAGCTTGTACAGAGAGGGCTAACTGTCAAGACCACTACAGGGCCAGTGGGCGGGGCTGTCAGCTCAGCTGAGCAGGACTTTCGACCTTGGGGGGCTCACCATACTCTCTGGTGAGCCAATGAGGGTCCACTTCCTGAGGGCAGGTGACTGGACAGTGGCCCCTTCATGACTACCAGCCCAGGCTCCCCCGACCCCATGCCCGCCTCTGCCCTGCCTAGCCCCACAGGCCTCACCTCATTGTGGGGGAGCCCGGCTGCAGAGAAGATGGGGATCTTCTGGCCCCGGGCGATACTGTTCATGACGTCGATGGGTGAGATTCCCGTTTGGATCATCTCCTCAGGGTAGATGCGCCCATGGGGGTTGATGGGTTGGCCTGGGGGGTTAGCAATCAGGGAGCCATGCTTAAGAGTTCAAGTCCCCCCTCCGTGCAGAGCAACTGCCTTCCACAGTGCCAGTGGTAGATGTTTCCGCCAGATCTGCTCCCAGTACAGTGGCCCCAGCAATCTGTGGCTACTGACCACTGGCAATGTGTGGAGTGTAGCTAAGGAGCTGAGTTAAAGTTGTAGTTTGTTTTAGAAAACAAGCATGGACAGGGCTACCTTGGACAGAGCCACTTTAAGCAATGGAAGAGGTAGCAGGCAGGTAGAGACCTCAGGCCGAGGCCTCCTTGGGCTAAGACACTATCTGCCTCGTGTGTGTGTGTGTGTGTGTGTGTGTGTGTGTGTAAGGGGTGGAAGCACTGAGGGTGACTTAGTCACCTCCTGTCTGATGGATCTGTGCTCCATGCTCTACCCTTGACCGTTTATGTGGCCTTGGACAAATCTGTATCTCCGTTGCGTCCATCCTCTGTACATGGTCGTGTTAGGGTGAAAGCACTTGGGAAAGGTCTTCCCAGCTTGAATGGTAAAAGCCTAGAAAGGGCTGTGTCGACTTGTGCAGCCCATCCCTGCTGCCAGGACTGGGGACAGTGGACGAGAAGGCTGGATGGTGAAGGTCTCAGGGCACGTGTGGGATCCGCACAGGGTGGATGATGCTATTATGGGATCCGGGCAGAAAGTGCCAGTGGCTTCCAGTCACTCACCATTGATGTCCAGGAAGTCCTCTGCCATGACTACTGGCCCCTTGTCAATGGGTTTGCCGGAGCCATTGAAAACCCGACCTAGGGGTGCATGGGCGAGTTTGAGGGACTTTCAGGGCTAGCCTGGTGTCTCTAACTGTGACCCATTCTCCACACCACCAGCTCCCGTCTGCCCCCATGCCCCCATCTCCTGGTCTTCTCCTGGGTCCCCTCTCAGCTCTCAGTCACCCCAGGGAGCTGGCTTGAGTGTGTCTGTCCTCTTGGGCAGAACCTGCCATACCCTGAAAGCCTGGCCAGGGATGTTGTCTCTGGTGGAGATGGTCTAGGGCAGGAAAAAGGGAAGACCAGGTATGGCAGGTGTTGGGAGAGAAATAGGGGACACGCAGGGCTTATGGGTCCCTCCCGGTCTCCAGCAGGTCATCGCTCACTGTGCCTTTGGTTCACGGAATCTGCTGACCTCATTTATGGAACACCTGAGCTGACCTCAGGGAGTTCACAGGGAGCCAGACAGGTAGACAGGCAATGACAAATGACACACAGCAAGCTAAGGACTTGGCCAGGTAGGCAGGCCTGGGGAGACAGAGGGGGCCCTCACCCAGCATGTCCTCTGACACTGGGGTCCGGAGGATGTCCCCTGTGAATTCACAGGTGGTTTTCTGGGCGTCGATCCCAGAGGTCCCTTCAAACACCTGTGGGGAGAAGAGGCACATTACTCCATTAAGGGACTTGCTGGGGAGCATGGGGACTTCTCTTCTCTGCCCTGCTATGTGCCCAGTTCTAGACCAGGTGTTAACAAGGAAATAGGAAGACCATGCTTTGCCTTTGGGAGTTGACATGCGTGTGTGCTTGTGGATGCATTTCTATATAACCAGCCGATACCTCATCGATACCACTTACTTGTACAATTGCTTTGGTCCCAGCCACCTCAAGCACCTGCCCGCTCCTCTGAGTCCCATTGGGAAGGGTGAAGTTGACAATCTCTGCATACTGGGCAAACTGGCAGGAGGGAGAACAGACAGACAGACAGACAGACAGTGAGACCAATGAGAAGCCCCTCAGCCCTCCCTCACCCCTCCTGCATCACCTCCAGCTTTGTACCTCGCGCCCACATCTTTGGAAATGAACCCTGTTAAAGACTGAATTATGTTCTTCCTAAAAATAGAATCCTTATTAATAATAATAAAAAGTTTTTTTAAAAAAGTAAAAAAAACAGAATCCTTGTAACTGTGGGTAGAGTCCTACTTGGTCTTATGATTGTTACTGTGTTTTGAAATAATTTTACTCCATTTTTAGTGACAGTTTACACAGAAAATCAGATTCTCACTCAACAATGTCTGTGTACATCGTTCAATGAGATGACACTTCCCACAGCCGGTCAGTATTTTCTTTGGGTCCTTCTCATCCCATATCCAGTGTCCTAACTTAACTTGCCCATTTATCCCATCACATCTTTAGAGTAATTGATCAGTTTGTGATGCTGTATTTCTGTTTGGAAACAGTGTTTTGTTTGGTTTGTTATTGAGGGTGTGTCCCAAACCCCATCACTTCTGAGTTAAAAGGAGCAGTAGTGACCCTGAGACCAGAAGCACAAACAGAGGAAAGACAGACAGATGCCATGTGAAGACCACCAGCCTTTGCCTGTAACTGGTGCTTCAAATGTAGGTCTCCAGCTTCTGAGCTCTGGTGGTCTGGGGGATGAGAAGTTTGCTCTGCCAACCCAATGGTGCATGGCTCAAATCCACCAGCAGGAGAAAGATGGGCAATCTCCTCCCTTATGGCCTCTGAAAACCCGCTAGAGAGTCCAGCTATGAGTCAGTTCCGACGTGACAGCAATACGCTGAGCTTAGTTTGTTGAGCTGTGAGACAAGAAACGGTTCCTTAAACACTCCTACTTGTGGACTTTCTGTTACAGCAGCGCTTGAGAAACGCAGACAAACTGGAAAGCCTTGAAGTGGATGAAGCTGTAGTTGTTTTAGAAGCAGTAGTCTGAGTGATCGGGGACATGAACTGAGAGATGGGAGACAAGCATTAGAACCACAGCTCTGTTACTAGTCATGCGACCTCATGGAAATTTACCTGGTATCCCAGGGACTCAGTTTTCTTATCCCTACAATGGGGCATCAGAGAGTTGGACAATGACTAGGGAGGACAGAAGGAGAATTGACGCCTTTGAGCTGTGGTGCTGGAGAAGAGTATTGAATGTACCATGGACTGCCAAGAAAACAAATAGATTCATCTTGGAGAGGATTAAACCAGGCTGCTCCTTGGAGGCAAGGATTCTGGGGCTTCGTCTGACATACTTTGGACATGTTGTAAGGAGAGACAGGTCTTTAGAGAGGGACATCATGCTGGGTAGAGTGGAGGGACAGCGCAGGAGGGGAAGACCCTCTATGAGGTGGATTGATTCAGTGACTGGGGTAATCGGGATGGGAGTGTCAGAGACAATGAGATTGGCACAGGATAGAGCACGGATTAGGGCTGTTGTACATGGGGTCGCTATGAGTCGCAAACGACTCGATGGCACATAGCAACAACAACAACACAATGGGGATGATAACAATAATACCTACTTGATAATACTGCTGTGGCGAAGAAATGAAATATATATTCACATATATGTGTATCTTGTATGTATATGATTTCTGTTAGCCTGATGGTAAGGACCTGTGCTGCAATCCCAAAGGCACACAGTTCAAATCTGCTAGCTGCTCTGCAGGAGAAAGATGAGCAATTTCCTCTGGGACTATTAAATTGTCTCTGAAAACCCACTGGAGGGTCAGCTTTGGTTTGGTTTCACCTTGGCAATTTACAGCAAATGTATGCATCCCAGGGCCATGGAGCTGGTCGGACTCACAGCTGCCCTCTACTGGGCTTTCCGAAGCTGTACACCTTTAGGGAAGAGACAGTGAACCGTCTACCTTCGGTTATCAGCGCAACATACAATGTCATATACTACCAGAGTCTAGTCGGCAGGGAGCTGTACTGCCAATAGGAAAGTGGGCAGTTCGTATCCACCAGCTACCCCTCCGGAAAAAGATGGGCAGTCTCCTCTTGTGCCGGTTACAACCGCTGCAAACCTGCTGGCAGATCCGCTGTGAGTCATTTTAGGAGCGAAACAAGCATGTCCACTATGATTCTGTTCAGCATTGTACCAGAAGAACGAGCGGAGTAATACGATGAACAGAAGAGAAATGAATAAAAATTAGGAGAAAGCAAAACTAGAAGATGGGAAACTCCCTCATCTCCAAATCTACCCAGTATGGTGCCCGAAAAGAAGCTTGACATAAGTAATTTTACAAACCCACAAGCAAAAGTTATACGTAAATGATTAATCAGTCAAACCAAGCAGCCCATTACATAAATAAATAAACAAGCATGACCAAATGGGTTTTATCCCGGAGATATGAGACGGGATCAGCGTCAAAGAACTTGTCCACATGGTTCATGTTTCATGTTGAATAAGTTAAATGGAGGAGGAATACCACAGAACTATCTAACTATAAGCCTAAAAGACTTTTTACAAAGCCAATATCAACATTCTTCTAAATGGTGAAATGCTGACTCCACTTTCATTTCCATTAAAATCAGGAGTAGATAGAGGTGCTCGTGTCATCACTGATATTTAAGAGTATTTTGGAAATTTCAGAGCATATGCAGGCTCTGGTGGTCTAGTAGTAAGGAACTGCCCTGCAATCCCAAAGGCATGTGGTTCGAATCCGCCAGCTGCTCCATGACAGGAGGCTGGGCCATCTCCTCCCTGGTGATTAACTGCCTCTGAAAACCCACTGGAAGGTCAGCTATGGGTCAGTTCCTACTCAGTGGTTCTCAACAACAACACAGTGAGACAAACAAAAGAAATTTAAAAGTATATCAGTAAACAAAAATGTAAAATATTCTTTTTGTTTAGGATGTGAGAGGGAACTGCATTCTTAAAAAATGTCTAGGGAAGGTTGTGAAAATATCCCAGATACAGGAGCCAGACATGAAGGACAATGAAATTCCGACCTTAACCTCTAGGCTGGATTCTATGTGGGAGGGAAAAGGCTCTAAAGGATTAAACAAAAATATTGCATCAGTGTAAGATTCTGAGGCTAGTAAGACAACTGTGGTTTAATAATATACAAAGGAATGTTTAGGGATATCGTGCCCTCAAATGTACACACATACACACAGCAAATGCCAGAACACATCAGATGACATATTAACAAATGGGCACATGGTTGTTTCGTATTTTCATTTTTGTGACACTTACAAATTTTAAATTGTTTCCATATAAAAGTATGTAGATGGGGGAAAAGGCAAAATCCTTTTTATTTCCAGATGGTAGTATGTGTTCAGAAAATAACAATAACGCTTTGGTTTAAACAAGCACAAATGGATATGACTAGTACTGATAAGAGAATTTAGGTAGATATGAGATAAAGACAAAAAACTAATCTCTTTTATATTCTGACAACCATTAAGAAGAAGAGATGGAAGAAGGCATGTGGCTCAAAATTCATCAAATATCTAGAAATAAATTTAACAAGAAGATAATTACAGTCTTTTGGCAGGATGTGGAACAAACCTGGAAAAATGGAGAAAATCATCTTTTGAGACACAATGAGTCACTAGCCTAAAAATACAAGTCTTCTCAGAATGTCAGTGAAATCAACTCCCAATGGATTATTGTTTCTTTTGAAACTTATTAAGTGGTCTAAATAATAATAAGATGGAAAAGATCAGAGAGGAAGGAATTGCCTTATTCGTTGAAGAGATTAAGGCTTTCACAAAGAGACCGCTGGGATAGAGTAGAAAATCCAGAAACAGAGTCCAGATGTTTTTAAACTATTCCAGGACGAAGGTGGCTTACCATGCCATAGGGGAGCGGGAGGGAGACGCGAATGGTGGTAATGTCACTGAATCGCTGCTTGGAGAACACCTACCCCCACCATGAGCCCAAGGAAATGAACTGAAGAACTAAAACAATAACAATGCCTGCCTCTGTTCCTGAAACAAATCTCATTAAAAAGGCATAAAGCAGCCCTGAGGAAGGAGGGTGGTTGAGGACAACAGCCTCCATGCAGGTACTTAACACACAGAGAGAGCAAACTATATAATGACCCTAACTGGGGATTCTATTGTTAGCAGGGGGAGTTAGAGATACAGAAAAGAAAGGTGCTAGAATGAATGTAAGGGTGCTTGGTGGGAGTGGGACGTGTCAGTGGGAGCCCGTAATTTTAAAAATGTGTCAATTGTTTTTGGTGCCATCTGGTCAACTCCTACCCAGCAATCCTGTACATGACCCATCGCTGCTGTGCTGGAGCCCACTGTGGCATTGACCTCTCATCTCTGACACCTCAGCGCATCTCAGGGAGGGCGTTTCGCATGTTAATTGACTCTGTACTAAGCACAATGTCCTTCTCCAGGGACTGGGCTTTCCTCAAGCACAAAGTATTTGAGACAAAGTCTCACCACCTTTGATTCTAAGAGGCATTCTGATCTAAGTATAAGTAAAAAGACCAGTGCATGTATGTGCGTGTATTTCTTAGTTCTCTCTACAGAGAGAACCTGAGAACAGTGACATCCCCAGTAACAACAACTACACCTGGCACCGAAGCCTTGGTCTCTATTTACACTTCTCTGGAGGAGAGCACTGAATATCCCACAGACTGTCAAAAGAAAAACAAATCAGCCTGTTTTGGAGGAAGTACAACCAAGGGGCTCCTCAAGGCAAGAATAATGCCACTCCACCTCACATACTCTGAGTATGTTGTCAGGGAGGGTCAGCCAATGGAAAAAGACGTCATGCTGGGAAAGGGCGAGAGGCAGAGGAGGACTTTCAACAAGATGGGTCGACACCGTGACTGTGACAGTGGGATGGAGCGTATCAGAGACGATGTGGACGGCACCGGGTAAGTCAAGTTCAGATCTCTTGTTGACAGGGTCTCTGCATCATGGTTGGCTTGTTGGCACCTAACACAACCATCATTACAAGGCATGAGGGCTTCCGGAGA